CCAAATATTCATATTTTTGAAAAGCATCCAATAACTAATAATTATAGCTAAAGAAGAACGAATAGTTTTAAAAAAATATATATTGTAAGCTTTCGTTGTACCTGACATGCCAGATCCATACTGATAAACTCAATTAACCAGTGGAAACAAAGGCTGAAATATCGAGAGATCGTCTAAACATAACTGGTTCAACTTCCGTGTAAAACGTCTCACAGACAGAAAAACATTCTGGGGGAGAGTTGCCAAGAAAGACATGTGTTCCTACGTGAAAAAATGTGCCCAGAGAAGTAGAAGAGATACTTAGGGCAAGGGATGGTAACCACTTCTCCAGTGTCTGCGCTGGGCCAACAGGTGATCTTATCCCAGGTTCCACTGCAACCTAACAGAGAGCATAAAAACAAATGATTGTTGAAGAAAAAAAATATATGCCCTAAAATATGGGCATGCAACAAATTGTTGGCACTAGATTAAGAACACCTGGAATAGAAAAGTCAAATGTGTACGTAGAGCAGCAGTAACCATATTTTCCCGGACTTTGGCTGGGTTTGTGATTTGTTCTCAGGTGCAAGTTATATTATATTAAAATATATAATTTCAATTTGGCTGTTATTTTCACCCTGACAGTAGCTACTGTGTTTATTTTTTTCTTATTCATTATGCATTTTTTTTTTTTTGTTTGGCTGGTGCGACTTATACTCCAGAGCGACATATGGCCCGGTAAATTACGGAAATATATTCAAAAATGTCAGTAGACGAAAACGTAGAGAAATAGGATAGCTCCAAGTTAGTCAAACAGAACTAAAAGTGAAAAGAGAACTTAACGTTGAGATATATTGTAACTGAAACTACAGAAATACAGAACTGATCAGATCAGACAAGAAGTGGAACTAGTTAGCCCAGATCATCCCTCTAATACTTCTAATACTAATGAAAACCTCAAAAAACAAAAAAAAAGCGAGACCATACTAGTGTTGTCTAGAGTTGTCTTCTAAGTCAGAAGATAATTAAACTTGGTGCTAAAGATTGAAAAATGCTTAATATAGCAATATTACCGGAACATATTTTGTTAGTCTAGAAATGAATTGGAATAGATTAAAGTTAGCCTACAAATAATCTTAGAAAAAACTTATAAATAAAATAGTTTCCCTATTTGGTTAACATGGAGCCAAGGCATAAGAAATAAAATATCTCTGCACTGATCCGGAGAGTCTTTATATTGTGTTTGGTCACAGGATCCTAAATCTTGTCATGGTAATTTTGTCACTCCACTCTGGGGGGAATGACATCACTTACATTGTAAACAACAGAATACAATGGCTCTTTATCAGCTGCAACTAGCATTTAATTACACAAGAACAGTTGACGCTATGTGATAAAACTATTCACGCTTATTTATAGGTATGTAGTGCCTGGCAAATTAGAACATGACACCTAATAATATGACATTCCAACCAATAGTAATTGGAAAAAAATAGACACTGGGTTTGCATACTGTGTATTCCAAAAGAAATACTGGCAAGAACCAGTCTTCGATAAGGACGTACGTGTAGATTTATTTATATATAGAGTTTATACTGTTTATCTATACAGTACATTGTATACATATACTTTTGCATCGTAGAGGTCATATGTGGGCAAACCTTTTTGGACTCAAGGGCCACAATTGGTCCTAAGATTTGACAGTGGGTCAGGAGCAGATGGATGGAGCGTTCGTGTCAACCAAAATGATGTGTGACATGTAAAAGTCATGCATAAAGGCTAAGGCATTGCAGGGAAAAGGCAGAAGTATAATCACAATACAAACCAATTATGTAATTTGGAAAAATTTGGCGGGCCGGATTACAAAGATGAACGCGCCGCATCCGGCCCCCGGGCCTTAGTTTGCCCATGCCTGGCCTGTCTATGTTGTACTTCTTATTACCGGTACTTTATTGTTTTTTTATTGTCCAGCCATCCATCTTTATTTTCCATGGGTAAGTAATAAACACAAACCGTTTTCCCATCTCTTGCAAGGGAAAGTGAATCCATCAAATATTGCAGTACGCAGGTAGATTTTACAACATTTCACTGGATTACAAGCAAAATTATTCGAACTGACCTTGACTTAGTTCAAATAAATTTGTCATCAAAACTCTTCTACCACGCATGGAATCAGGGCATTCATTTGTTGCCTTACAAACTAATGTTCTGCTTCACAGTTCAATCCGTTGTGAATTTATGAAATGAAGCCAAGATCAAATGTAAACTTTTAGAGACAGTGCACAAAAACGGTTAGGGCAATCACCTGTTGTTCTGTTCTCAATTTGAGCTTCACACGCTTCTCTCTCTCGGTCAATTTCTCTCATCATCTCACACATCTGATTCTGCATGGCCGCCACCTGTGAGGGGGAAAAGTCCATATTTAAAAATTAAAAATTAAAAATGTCTTTTGGTTCAACATTGCATTATAATATTACATTACAATATTTTTAGACTTTAGACTAATAAATGTCTTTTGGTTCAACATTGCATTACATTACATTACAATACCTTTAGACTTTAGACTAACTGGAGTCAGTCCATAAACAATCGAGCAACAGTGAACGTACAAAATACAAAAACACATAAATAATAATAATAAATAGTAATAAATAATACATTCAAAAAGTACAGTCATAGTAGGTCGTAGAGTAAGAAGAGGTGCATGTTAGCTGTTTGTAAAAACTGGGACAAAGTCACTGGCAAAACTTAATATTTATTGAAAAAAAGTATGACAATTGTGCATGTTTTCTTCTTCTCTCCAGATATTTAATGTAGTTTTTTTTTTTCATATGGAAAAACAAAGCTTTAGCTTTGCCTAAACATTAAACCTGGAACAAGAAAACCGTTTTATAAACACATGAGGAATTAAATTCGAAATAAAATTATATATATTATTATATTATTATTATGTCTCTTTATCTGTAGCCTTTTGAGTTCCTTCAGGCCAACAACAAAAAAAATAAATAAATGTATGTGCTAGAACGTAGCGCACACGCCGCTAATACGACATCCATTTTCATTCGCGTATCCTTCCTGTTTTCCATCATTATTATAATGGTTAACTCTTAACATTTTTTTTTTATCGTTGCAGCCTTTTTTTCTCACAAATTTAAAATAAAATTTACAGTGTAGAGGTAAGATAAGCGAATGGTAGCTTGCGAAAACGTTTCATGTGCTATTCCAGTCAGAAAAAGTAGCGTACGTACAGTACAGTATATACCTGTCTGTGATACCTTCACGGTCGTCGGAAAATATCTATTCTAGAAAGCTCTTTCAATTGACTTCAACCTCAGTGATAACTAACTAGCTAAAAACAAAAAAAAAAACTCGTCTAACAAAAAACATCGATATCTGTTTTGCTTGATAACAAACGCCATTAAAACCCACTGGTTTGTTATTCTTTTAAGCTGAGGGCCATGTACGCCCGCGTTACCGGACACGAAAAATAGAATAGAATGTTAAACTTATAATGAAAAAATATAATTAATAGGCAAACGATATTTCAGTGGATATTTGTTGGAACTAGAAAGTCAAAGTTCAAGTCATGGAAAACTTTAAAAAAGTGCGAGATATCGATATACGTACTGTTACCGGCAACACACTGGCGAGAATAAATAAAATTCCATTTGAAACTTTCGCCGACATATCCTCGAGTGTAGCACTCGCGAGGTAAACCATTTGAAACTTTCGCCGACATATCCTAGAGTGTAGCACTCGCGAAGTAAAAGTATAAAGTATAAGTAACGAATGATAAAACCAAGAGACAGCAGGAAAAGCTGTGAAAAGTCAGTTAAGATACTTGGTGGGTTCCACCTCCTCCTTTTCGATTCTCCTCCCCTTAGTGCAAGTTATTACCGACACAAGACTTTGATTGGACGCACAACCACGGTGTAAGAAGTTGCTGCTTAAAATCCAAGGTGACCTGTCCTTATTATCCGAGTCAAGTTTGAACAGGCTAATATCGTAGGCAAAATTAAAAAAAAAAAAAAAAACATCATTTGAAAGGAGAAATTCTTTCACTTGTCTCTTGATAAAACTTTTTTTTTTTTAAAAAAGAGATAAGAACGATAAGTACAGTAAACTGTTAAATATTAAGCCTAATCTAGTTAAGTTGCAAAAGCAAGGTCCATATTTGTTTCACGTCTTTACAATCAATTTCTAAAAGGGCTAAATAGAACAAAAAATAAAAAAATAAAGATTTAAACCGTGGCTTAATTACATTATATTTTGAGAGGCCTTGGAACTTTCAGAATTGAGTTAAGCGCACATACGTAGTTCAGTTTGTTTATGCAACAATACTTTATTTTGCTTGTTATAATTTGGAATTCATTACTGCATCGATTTCATTGAGGTATAAAATGTTGCAGTTTAAAATTCTATCGCTAACCCTAACCCACAATTTACACCGTTCTTTAAATTTTGGTCTGTGATTGAGTTTGACAGTGTAGTTTAGTGTTTAGCCAAAAATGTAGTTTTGACCCGTGGAATCTAAACCCTGGCCCGGGGGCTGCGGGCGGTCCATAGGTCACTATGGTACCAGGCCACAGTGGGTCACACGACACTTTACGAATTTACTTTATTCAAAAAGAATTCAGTCATATCCCTTTACTTTTTTCATTAAAAGATAATCTTGTAATGTTTCAAAGCAATAGGTCATTCAGTCTGATACTTCAGAATAAAGTCTAAAGGATGTTTTATTTTGAAAAGGTATCGATCCGTCAGTGATTTTTGTGCGGTATTACTGGTCCACAGTAACGGGTCATACCAGACCGACCGGTCCTTGGTAAAAAAAAAACGGTTCAAGACTGTTGGTTTAGACTTAAAAAAAATCCAAATTTTTTAAACTAAAGTGCAAGGTTTTAACAAGAATAAAGAAAAAACGAGTAGAAAAAAAAGAGTAGAAAAAATATGGTTACATAGTGTAACCAAGCGTGTCAAATATATTAATTTTATAATTCATTAATTTGATGAATTATGAAATTAAAAAAAAAACACAAACACTTCATGTTCAGGAAACATTTTTGTGAATTGAATTTCCATCCATCACCACCTTGGCTGTCTTTGCAGTTTCTCTCTAATTCAAAGAACATCTCTCGACTTGTCCCCTCTGTTTTTGCTCACCTTCTCTTCCTTCTTTCCACCCTTAAACACAACGTATCCCACCGTACACAGCGTCTACTGTAAAACCTTATCCAGCTCGCTCCAAAATTTCTCTTCCTCTTCCAACTGACCACCTTCAGAATCACATCATCCACTTTTACCGTCAAGCTCAACGTGTGTCTTGAACAAGACTCACTTACTAACAGTAAGTCAGCAATAGACCGTTAATAAATGTTAATCCCGTTTGCCCTGCAAATTAGACCTTTTTAAGTAATCTGCCCCTTGAGGGATCGGGTTTGACAACATGACTATAAAATTGACTATAGAGATGAATGTGGGGGGAATTTCTGTAGGAAATTGGATATACCTAACAAATATTAAAAAAAAAAAACATATGTTAGGCATATATTTTGGTTTGTGAAAATAATTGACACCAAACATCCACCCCGACTATGACTATGACGAAATCTTCTGTTAAAAAATGCCCCAAAACACAGCAATCAAAATGCTTTAAAATACACAAAATATACAAGTTCCACAACAGCACTCGTATGTCGATCCGCTTGTACCTCGGTTGCATTTTTTCCATTAAAAATAATAAAATAATATTAATTAAGAATTTTTATATATATATTATTGGTGTAAAAATTGGTATAACAACCCAGCAAGGCACAGTGAGCGAGACAGCGAGAAGGTCTGAGAGTGAGGAGTGAGGCTTTAGATCAGGGGTCACCAACCTATATATATATTCTTTATATATATATATATTACAGAAATATGTTTTCACTTTGACATTTTCAATACATGTTTGTGTGAAAAAAGCCAAATTTTATTGATCATGATTGATTTATAGAAGGAATAAAAGTGTAAAACATCCAAGGGGATGAATACTTATGCTAAGCACTGTATTTCAAAGCACAAAACAAACAGTGTAAATAAATACACATTGTAAACAATAAACCCAAGTAACACAAATGTTGACTTCTTTTACATCATCACGACTAGAATGACTTGAAATATCCAAATCCAATACAAACATTGATAATAACAAAATAATAATAATTATTGTTTTTGTTTTTTTGTCAATAAAACATCTACAGATATTGAGTGATTTAATACATTTTATAGTAACAACATGCTATCCCTTGCACGTTTACAGTTAGGATTGGCTCCAAAGTATTAAGTGCTGGATAACGGATTGACCGTCAGTGGTTCAAACGTTCTCTGTAGGGCTACCTTTATTTCATAAGAACATTTCATAAGAAATAAAGATAGACAGAAATATGTTTTCACATATGTTTTGATAATAACAAAATAATAATTAATTATTGTTTTGTTTTTTTGTTCCAGAAAAAAAAGACAAATATTTGCTGCAGGTACTGAAAGGTTCTCCCCACAAAAAACTTCAATATGTTCCAGAAAAAACCAAAAGTTATCTATTAGTTTTGAGTTGTGGGGAAGTCAGCTCTAATTAGAAAAAGTTTTCGGAAAATAAATACACCACCCAAAAACAAACAAACAAACGGGGGCTGCTTCTAATGCTCTGAGCCAATCGAACGAGCAACAGCAAAAATAAAAGAATTGAAAACAACGGCCTCCTATGCAACATTTGCATTAATTTTACACCACCTTCAACCAATCTGGTTTTATTTGCCAGTTTTTTTTTTTGTTTGTTTGTTTGTTTTGCGTTACGTTTTAGTCATTCTTTCATTGCATCATGACGCACCATGCAATGGCACAGCGGCCTCCCAAGGGGCGCGCCCCCCACTTTGGGATGAATGTCACAACACCCTACTATTACCCGGAGTCATTGGTCTGCTGTGTAGATGTTTTTCTATTGGTTGAAGAAACATTACGCAACTCGGACCAAACCCGGAAATGAACCAACCTGCTTCCAGCGACTTTGTTTAATTACAACCAAACCGTTTTAGTTTTACATGATTTTATTTTTGTTTTGCAAAATTGGAGGTTCTTCTTGATGTGTCTTTCCATTCGTATTTGATTGACACAATTTGTTGATTCGCTTTTATTACTGTCTTTGTACGGCAACTTTCTGCTCACAGACACAATGAGTGACTTCGGGTTTAACCCAGTGGTACTTGTCGGTGCCGGCTCCTGTTTTGTATTCTCCAGCATTTTTTATCATTTATACCAAGAGAAGAAGAAAGAGTTAAACAAGATAAAGGCAAGTGCACTAGCTTTATTGTTACGTTTATGTTGTTACTGCACTGTGAACGTAACTTCAAACGTTAAAATAGTTTCCATAAACAATTAACCCCGTTTTTTTCCCCCGTAGACATTTATTTAGCTTTTAAAGTTTGGCTTATATTTAGCGGTGTTGACGAACTCCTGGCTCTTTTTTTTCTATTCTTTAAAATAATATTTTTTATACATTTTTGACTAGCCTTTATCTGGTTAAGCGATATAAGTCTGCTTGTACATTAATAGGAAATGCAGGTTATGATTTATGTACGGCAAAGCTTCGTAACGTCAGAAAACTGAACTCGAACTAAAAACTAGTTAGCTGCTGGCATAATGGCGGCTCGCTGAAAAAAAAAAACTGCGAACGCTTCTTTTCTTTTTCTCTTTCTTTTTATGGTACAATTTCTTGGCTCGTCATATTTATATACATTTTCTCGTTTAGGAAATCCCCATCTTCAAACCAGACAAATATTTGCTGCAGGTACTGAAAGCTTCTCCCTACAAGAAACTTCAATATGTTGCTGTAGAAGGTACGGGCCATTAGCTTTTAGGAAATATAGCTTATTTTATAGCTTTTATTAGCTTTTAGGAAATATAGCTTATTTAAGATTTTTTTTGGCTATAAAGTGTTTTCTTTTTTCTTTTATAAGGTTTGGTCCAGGCGGATGAAGAGCCACTGGTTAGCTCCTTTGTTGCTCAAACTTTCGGTGTTATTCAAAAGACTGCAGTGCAGGAAAACTGGGAATACTGGAACAGCCTCACCAGAACGTGGTGTGTGGAAAGAAAGCAGAAAATAATGAATAATGAATTTATATTGCTATATGTACTAGGGCGTGTTGCTATAATACCATAATCTTTTCAAGGAATTCAAAGACGATGAACAGAAAAGAGACCAGCAGGTTCGTGCCCTTCAGCCTCATCAGCCCTGTAGCCTACATGAGTGACGTATACGTGAGGGTGATGCAGCCGCTAGACGCATCTGGGTGCTTTTTGAACAGGGTTCATCACAAAGTCAAACCTGCTAAGGAGGGTTTGGTGAACCTAGCACTGCAGGGACTCAGTGGAGAGAAGCCTGTATCGTTGGAGGAGACCGAAGAGATGCTACCGGTAGGGAGCATTGTCACTGGGTTTGGAGAGGTGGTCCTGCAAGGAGGCGGGATACTGAGGCTGCAACCTCCACAGGATGGACGCAAGTACATCCTTCTGCAAACCGACTACAAGAGCTTCATAGACAGGCACGAGAGATCAGCCGGTATGTGGAAAATCCTGACCGTGGTCACTGGCGTTACAGGGGTCTCTCTTGTAACCGGAGTTATATCGACGCTATTTGGAAAAGAGGACGCCAAGTCAAAAAAGCCTTGAAGAGGAGGATTCGGAAGGTTTGACATTCTGTGGTGTATTACAAGTTTGAAGGAGTCGCACAGATTGTTCCAGAAAATACCGAAAGGTATCTATTAGTTTTGCGTTGTTGGGAAGTTGTAAATACCGAAAGGTATCTATTAGTTTTGGGTTGTGGGGAAGTCGGTCTATTTTGCTCCAAAAGATCAATAAAAATATTTGTATTCATTTTAAATTGAATGAGCGCAAAGCTATCTTTATATAAATTTGCAATAAGTATTTTGGAAATTACAGCTCTAATTAGAAAAAGTTTTAGGATAACACTATGCCAGAAAGGTAGTAGGAAAGGTACTAGCCTTTCCTACAGCCTAAAATGAAGGAAAAGGGAAATTATTCTTGAGAGACTGACAGAGAGAGAAAGAGTTGAATCGGCGTTATAATTGCACCAGCGCATCCCTTCGGCGCTGCTCTTCAGATAGCAGTTTCCTCGCAAGTTCTCCTAAAATATTTATCTATGGGTCTGCGTGATTTTTTTTTTTGTGCTTGTATATTGTGCTCTTTGTTTCATTGCAGCCATTTGCTAAAAATCAAAAAAGTTCATTTTATTTCTCATTAATGTACACTCAGCGCCCCATCTTGACAAAACCGACAAAAAACAGAAATGTAGAAATTTTTGCAAATTTATTAATAAAGAAAAACTGAAATATCACATGGTCATTAGTATTCAGACCCTTTGCTCAGTATTGGTTAGAAGCACCCTTTGGAGCTAGTACAGCCATGAGTCTTCTTGGGAATGATGCAACAAGTTTTTCCACACCTAGATTTGGGGGATCCTCTGCCTTCTTCCTTGCAGATTAATCTCCAGTTCTGTCAGGTTGGATGGTGAATGTTGGTGGACAGCCATTTTCAGGTCTCTCCAGAGATGCTCAATTGGGTTTAGGTCAGGGCTCTGGCTGGGCCAGTCAAGAATGGTCACAGAGTTGTTCCGAAGCCACTCCTT